GGTGCATGCAGGAGGCGGCCAATCGATGTTTTCTCTCTCTCTCTCCCCCCCCCTCTCCCTTCCTCTCTCTCTAAAATCAATAAAGGGGAAAAAAATAAAAATAAATAAAAATACAGTATTCTAAGGGACAGGAGATGCCACAAGAGGGAAGGAAACTGGGTCCCTGAAATATCACCTTTAACAGCTGCTCCACCTGCATGGACTGTAGTTCGGGGCCTTTTTGTTACAGTACCTTCGCCTATCCCTTAACTAATACATCCCATGTGCACCTGGGGGGAAAATATTGGGAATGAACAGAAGGAAGCTGACATAAGGCCACAGCAGGGACAGAAGATTCACAGGTTAGTTACAGGCTCAGAGCTAAGGCAGCCTAAAGACCCACAGTATGCAAAATGTCAATACAAAGCCAGCAAGCTTTAAGAATTTCACAAAGCCCTGGCCGGTTTGGCTCAGCGGTTAGAGCGTGGGCCCGCGGACCAAAGAGTCTCGAGTTCAATTCCGGTCAAGGGCACGTACCTCGGACCTGGTCAGGGTCATGCAGGAGACAACCAATCAATGTGTCTCTCTCATATTGATGTTTCTTCTCTCTCTCTCTCTCTTTCTCCCCCTCCCTCTCACTCTAACTGAATATAAATGGAAAAATATCCTGGGGTGAGGATTAAAAAAAAAAAAAGAGAGAGAATTTTACAAAGAATTTAGATACAACAATATTACAAGTGGTACAAAACCATGTTTCCTTTGTAAAGATCAGCTCCTTTGTGGAAAGACACTGGTGAAGGCATCTGCTCTACAGAACTGAACATATTTCATCACGAACCAGATTAAAAAAGCACTGTTTCCATGGGCCACCTGCCAGAATGCGGGACTAGCCTTGTTACATAGAACCAGATGTTGCAACGAACTTGCTACAATTTTCTATATACCAGAAAGTGGGAAGCCACATTCATTAGTATATAACTACAAATGGGAAAATGTTAACCATCAAAATTCCAAAGGATGACCCGAGTTCAATTTCCTTGCGTTGCACTCCAAATTTTGAAAATCCCACTGCGTCTATCTCAAATTACATACTTTCGAGTAACAAAACTCACACTGCTAACATATGATTTCCATAACACAGTAAATAAATTTGCATGTAAATGTAAGTTCTGTGAAATCAATCGTGTATTCATCCAATAAATATTTTTTAAGCATTTACTTGAGGAAACTCTACTGGAAGCAAGGGAGACAGAGTGTGCAGCCCAGGCATGTGCCCTGACCGGGAATCAAACCAGTGACTTGATGCATGAGACAACCCTCAATCAATTGAGCCACACCGGCCAGGCTACAGGAAGAGTTTCTAAAAGAAGTACCATCTGGTACAAGCCCAGAAGTTGAAATCAGAGTAAGCCAGAGAAACAAGGAAAGAAGGGACAAGCATGAAGAAAGGTCAGAGACAAGTTCAAAGAACCAAAGGAAGTTCGGGATGAATGTCAAGTGAAAGGAAAGAAATAGTAAGCAACAGGGCTGAAGACATATGCAAACAAGGCCACGTAAGCCATGTGGAAGGGTCTGGACTCCATCCAGCGGGCAGCAGGGAGTCTTGAAGGGTTTAACAGCAGGATGACTTGGCTGCACTGTGTAGAAGGCCTGGGGGAAGGGCGAGACAGATGGCAGGGGAACACTGAGGAGGTTATTGCAGTCATTCAGGCAAAAGATGGCAGCCTAAACTCACACAGTATTAGCCGGGCTGGGGAGCAGAGACAGCTTTGAGGAATATATCGGAGGTGGAATCCTATCGTTTTTTTTGTTTGTTGTTGTTATTCATTAATATAAAATGAATCTTCAATTAAACTGCATATGCATTACCAATGAATGTTCAACTGCCAGGGGAGCTTACCCTGATTTGCATGTTTCCCCAAACTTCAAAGGTTTGATGATCTATAAGTAGGCAATGGGTGCAATAGAATTTCAGTGCTGTATGATGCCAAAATAGATCTACAGTCCCCTGATCTTGCGGCAGAATGCATTTCCAGATTTCAGAAATGTTCCGATTTCATAAAGGTAAAATGGTGCATATACTTTATATTATGTAACACCCTAGTGTAGGGCCTGGGATAGCACCATGTGATAAAATACATTCATAATTTTGCAGCAAAATGGATGAATAGTCGCACTAAAGGGAATAAATAAGAGAGTTCGGGTCAGGATTTGCTAGAGTTCAAGTCAGGCTTTGCTGCCAAGTGAGTAAGAAAGAAACCTGAGGTTATTCAGAGCACTGGGTATTTCAGAATTGCAGATAAGGGATGGAAGGTCTGTAACCACATCTGAATTCCTATGCTAAGTTTGGATTTTTATATGAAAACTGTACGATTAGCAAGCATTTTACTCCAAAGTACCAAAATGGTTGAGAAGACAATGCCGGCAGGAGATAATTACAAGATCCCATCAGTGATACCCAACTGAGCTACTAAAGAAGAGTGGGAAAATGTCACTGCAACAGGGTATCAGTGTGCTGAGGCAACCAGAACTCCAGAAAGCAGCTATCTGCGATCATTCCCATCTTGCAAGATGGCAAGTGGATAACCTGAGAAGATGGTAAGATGGTCGTTAAGCTAAGGATGCCGAGGCCAGTGACAAAATCCAGAGGGAAGGCCCACCACTAAGACCCAAAAAGGAAGCTCCCTGCAGCTGGGAGCCATCCTAGCAGAGGAACGGCAGGCAGATACTCCCAGTCTGTGAGATACTCCAGGAAGGCTATGTCTAACCAGAAGTCCACACGTGTTAAATCCACAATGAAAAAGATAGGGAAGGTACTCACCACGGTGACAGAGCCACGTGGTAGGGATGAAAATGGCGACAGCAAAAGAGTTTAAAATTCTCAAAATACCCAAATATTATCCTCCTGAAGATGTACTTTGAAAACTGTTGAGCCGTGAAAAAAAAACAACAACACTATGGTCACTCCTGGGTCCCTCAGGTCATCCTCACTGGCCACCATGGAGGCCAGCAGTGGTTTCCCCGAAGCAACTGAGCAATGGCTCGCCACATGTGGTTGGACCACCAGCTGTCATCTGGGTTACATGGAACACTCAGAAGTTGTCATCACCCCTGCCAAAACAGACCCTGATGGTGGGACAGTCTCAGAGTACCTCAACAACGTACCTTTAAGAAGAAGCTGCGTGAGACCGGATGTCCAGAAGGTGAGCTTTTCAGCGCAGAGGAAGAGAAATGTGAGCTCACAGAGCAGTACACGGCCGACCACAAAACTGGGGACTTGGCTCTTGCCGAAGCTCAGCGCCTAGCCAGTGCCAGGACTGCCTGTTGCCTTGAAAACCGAGCTTATCCGCACAAGCCGCTCTTCTAAACCACGGGCAGAGTTCCCACTTACCATATCCCAAACCACAACAAGCAAACAAACACAGCCCTGCTGTTTCAAGGGAATTTCCTTTCTGAGGGCTGATCGGGGAGTCTGTTAACACACCCACCAAACAGAAGGAAGCCTGTAAGCTACAGACACCTCAAGCAGCAAATATCTCAGGATATCAGTGAACCTAAAACCACATCAAGGTCATCTGTGAAGGTCAGGGCTCTATGTCCCAGGTCTCAAGGAAGAAAAGCTTCCGAGACAATATTCAAGGAAAGGAAGTTCCAGGCCTTGAACAAACATTGTGTGTTGGTTTGAAGGAGCACGTGGTTGGTGCATGGCCAGACTCCCGATACATTCCTATGAGAATGTCCTCGCTTAGAAGGCTGGGGATGGGGGCGGGGGATGGGGTGCCTTCTCTACCAGCATAGGTTCTGAACTAGTATGAAACCAAAGCAAATAAACCGTTTATTCCAGGTCAGAAATAAAGGCAGTAAGTGCCCCTAAAAATGCCCCAGGAAATTTCAAGATAAATAGGAGTCCATTTCTCTCTTACATTAGCCTCCATAAAGTTTACATAGTCTTCTTTTAAGGGTTAAATCAGAGATAAAAATTGTTTCCAGGATACTTTTTTTTTTTTTACTTTAGGAATCTAAACCCCTGAGAACCTAAACAAGACCCCTAACTGAATTGTAGCATTCTATAGTTATGTTACACATCCATCAGGAATACCTATGGCCCCGCTCAGAGGAACGAGGCAGATCCGTAGGCTGAGAAGGAAAGATGTCGAGGACAGATCGGTGAAAGGCAAAAAGCAAGCTGAACAGCAGAGCAGAAAGTAATATACCATTTCTGTAAAATAAACTGTATGTGTTACAAATATAGACATAGAAATATTTTTTCCACGAGGCATAGTTAAGGGTCAGAAAGAACACGTACAACCATTAATATTTGTTCTACTAGGAAACGGGTTAGAAAGAAAGGTAGAGCATTTTCCCTTCTGCGACATACAGTTCTGCAGTGATTGCACTTTCTTAAAAATAACCATGAATTATCTCAATTTTTAAAAATTAAAAATTTTAGCCCAGCTGGAGTGGCTCAGCTGATTGAGCATCGTCCCGTGCACTGAAAGGTTGCGGGTCTGATTCCCAGTCAGTGAGCATATGGAAGGCAACCTATCGATGTTTCTCTCCCACATCAATGTTTCTCTCTATCTCAGTATGTCCTCGGGTGAGGATTAAAAAAACAATTTTTTAACGATGTTAACTAGACTTATTGTGGTGATCATTTTTTATATAAATATCAAAAAAATGTTATATACCTGAAATGCAATATGTCAATTATACCTCAATTAAAAAATTAAAGCAAGATTCTATTAAAGGTGATATCAGACTATTCCCAAATAAATGATTTCTCATTATTGTCCTTTAAATCATAGCTACAATACCCAACAATAAGTGGGGCTGTTTCTAAATGGGCTAGCCCTCCATCTTTAGGATCAGGAGAACAGGAAGATACCTCAAAGTCAGGAAAGTAATTGAAGGAATGAGAGCTATCAGGGACTGTATGAACAAGAACCACATTCAGTTCTTTGACTGTGACACCCGAGTATTAGAGCACTGGACCACTTCCAGAGAGAGATGTAAAGACTCACCAGATAAAGGTTATTTTTGTCCTGAAAGGCATACTGTAAATGGGGGATCCAAGGACTTGTGCTCTGAGATAATATGTTCCGTTCTTCCTCAAAAAATGAAACCTAGAAGAAAAAGAAGCCTTTCATACAATTATAATACAAAGAAGTAAATGTAAGGGAAGGGGAAAATGCCCTTTTCTCTCTCTTTAAGCCGAAACTGATGTCTCTAATTTCCAAAATCACCTAGCCCAGCATCCCACAAATCTCACCCATTTACCTACTTTGCTCACTTTTACCAGATCTGTATATTATCTGTCCAATTAGTTACTTCAAGCATCTTTCTTTAAAGCCAACTCACTTTCTTTAAATCTAAGCATCTTCCTCTTTCTCTTCACCTTCCCTTACTGAACTGTTCAGTCCTAAAGACATTAGGTGGAGCAGAATAAGGACAGCACCCATGGCAGGTGGTAGGGAGAGCCATGGTGGCCCAGAACAGGGTGCCAGGCCCGAGGAGGGTGCGGAAGGCTGCAAACATGGGTGGGGGCAGTCCAATATACGGTATCAACAACCCACACAGGGTGAAAAAGGCATTCACCTGTGGGGATGGTCTGAGTCCACCAAAGGGAGGGGCAACACCAAAGACAGTCGATTAGATGCACACAGATGTGTAAAATAAGTTAAAATACTAAGGGTCATGTCAGAGAAGAGAGTCACAAACAGGGAAGGGGCGAAAGTTAGAATGAACCCTGTGAAGTTGGACTCAGAGGCACTGGTGTGAACATGTGGTTTTCAATATAAAGATTTAGAAATATAGATGTAAATATGTGTACGTGTGTGTGTGTGTGTGTGTGTGCAAACAGGTAGGTATATTATATACATGTACTATATTCCCTAACTCTGTCCGCTGAAAAGGGTCTGGGAGCAGTGATACCCTAATAGCAGTGAGAACACCTAATACCCAGATCTTGGCCTCTAAATACCATTTTACACAAAAAGGGCTGCTTGCAGGGCTGGAGCAGGTAAAATAAAAGTCTAAGACCCTGAAAATCTTGCAATAAAAAGCAAGGTAGTACTCAAAGATGGGGATATGTCAAAAGGACAAAAAGCCAATCTAAAGAGATTCTCATTAGCCAACCTGGAGACAATTTGAGTATAAAAATATCTAATAGTCCGACCGGTGTGGTTGAGTGGCTGGCTGAGTGTCGACCCATGCACTAAGAGGTCACCAGTTTGATTCCCGGGCAAGACACATGCCCAGGTTGTGGGTTCAATCCCCAGTGGAGGGCATGCAGGTGGCGGCCAATCGATGTTCTCTCTCATCGATGTTTCTCCCTCTCACTTCTCTCTCTAAAATCAATAAAGGAAAAACATGTTTAAAAAAAATATATATATATATAACAATAGTAATGGATCATAATTCATGGACTTAAAAAGGAAAACGCAAGTCTGTACAGTATAAATAAGTGAATGAGTTGAAAGTTTTGTGAGGAATGGATATCTTGCTAGTTCGAAAGCACCTTCCTACAAAATACTTATGTAATTACAGAGGGGAAAGGAGTAACTCCACAGCGAAGCAGCGCGGCAGATGCCAAAGTGAACATCATCACGAGCGCCACACTGAAACTGAGAGTCGCCTGCTGGGACGCAATGAGAAGAACAGAGCATCTCAACTGCGCTATTCCTGCCAAAGATTTATAACCTGAATCAAAACGCGAGTAGCATCGGACCAATCTCAACTTTACAAAATAACTGGCCTGTAATCTTCAGAGTCATCAAGGTCCTGAGAGTCCAGGAAAAATTAAGGAACTGTTCCAGATTGAAAAAGACTGAAAAGACAGGACAGCTAAGTGCCAGGTGTGGTCCGGAGCTGGATCCTTTTGTTCTGAAAGACCACGGGAGAACTGGTGACCCTTGAACGGGGTCTGAGGATTCGATGGTAATAATGCATCGTGGCGAATTTCCTGATTTTGATGGTTACACTGTGGTTCAGAGGAGAACATCTTTATTGCAGGAAATGTAGAAACATCCTTATTGTAGGAAGTAATGGGGCATCAGGTTGGCAACTTATTTTCAAATGGTTCAGGGGGGAAAAGTTGTTAATATTGTATGGGATAGCTTTACGTGTCAACTTAGCTAGGCTCTAGCTCCCGTCATTCAATAAAACACTAATCTAGGTTTGCTGTGAAGGTACTTTGTAGATGTGGTTAACATCAACAATCAGTTGACTTTAAATATAGTGGGGTTTTTCCCTTTATTGATTTTAGAGAGAGAGGAAGGGAGAGAAAGAGAGAGACAGAAATATCGATGAGAGAGAACATCGATTGGCCGCCTCCTGCATGCCCCCCACTGGGGATCAGGTCCACAACCTGGGCATGAGCCCTGACCGGGAATCGACCCGGCGATCTCCTGGTGCATGGGTCGACGCTCAACCACCGAGCCACACCGGCCAGGCAACAATCAGTTGACTCTAAAAAAGGAAAATCCTTGATAACCTGGGTGTGCCTCATCCAATCAGTTGAAAAACCTTAAGAACAAACTGAGGCTTTCCTGAGAAATAAGAAATTCTGCCTCAAGCTTGCGTCATCAGCTCCTGCCCAAGAACTTGCAGCTTTACTGGCCTGCTGGCCTGCCCTCCAGACTTTGGGCTTTCCAGCCCCCTCCATCAGGCAAGTCATACACATATATGTATACATATTCAACGGGTATCAGTACATATATTCAACATATGCTTATAGTACATACTTTACATACATACTATAGAACCCTGAATGATACACTATACTTGCAACTCTTCTATAAGTTTGTGATTGTTTCAAAATAAAAATAATTTAAGTTTAAATAGGCCTTCTTCCATTTAGTTCTAACAATAACATCTGTGAAAGTCCCAGGTTTTGATATGCTAGCTAATATTAAACTATTCAATGTTTTGAATTAGTTTTGTCCATGTACTACCTAAAGTCATCCTGCACGCCACCGGTAATATACCTAACACATCAGGGAAACACCAACCCAACCCCATAATCGACTGCACCCTTTGCTAACCCTTTTTTCCTGGCACATAGAAGGTGTTCAGAGGCTGGCTGGCTGAACTGGAGAGTCAACGTCTTACTTGCTCACCACTGGCTCGTCAGACCCCCTGAAGCTCCCATTTAAAAGGAACTGTCTCTGAGGACCTCTTCCAGTTCCCTGAGCTCTGGCTGGGTGCACTGGCCTCTCCGCGGTGGCAGGTCATGTCTGCAGGTCACCACCTCTCCCTACCTCCTCTCAGGCATGTCCCTTCACTCGCCCCTGGTGCTGACTTCTCTCTTCTCAGGCCCTTGAATTCCGAAGCCTCAACATGGCTCAGTCAAGAACCCTGCTTTGCTTACCTTCACCGTCTTGAGGGATGGGGGGAGAGGCAGCTTTAATTAGCTCGTGTATGTGTATGATTTTTAAAACCTCCCGCCCCTACCTCACAAGGGGTCGTCCGAGTCTTTCACCTGGAGGAAGGCACACCTATCTGAACCTGCAGTGTGGTTTGTTGGATTGCTTTGTTTTTACACGTACTGCTTTCCCATCTAAAACGTAAGCATCGCAACGGCAGGGCCACATCTAATGCCTCTTCCCAAGGACCTAGAAACACCCCAAACACTCAGGTGCTCAGGAAGTGTTCACTCAAGATAGAGGGTGCGTGGGCGTCAGGTTGAGCGAGCACCTTCCACGCCTCTCTGCCACATGATTCAGCACATCCTGTCATTTCTCTGTGTAGTTGCTCACACTGCATCCCTAAGCACAGACTACATCACTGCGGGACTCTAGCAGGTAGCTCCCTGTCCTCCGCTGCCTCTCTGATTGGAGGCCAGACACAGTCACTCAAGTCCTCAGACTCTGATCCCGACCTCCTCCTTCCAAAAGCCTAAATGGTCTCCAACTGTCTCCCAAATTGAACTGCCATTTCAAAAACGGCTTTTGGGGACAATGGTGAGTTACCATTTAAGGGGAAATGGAGCTTCTGTTTCAGATGATGAAAAAGGTCTAAAAATGGGTTATAGTTACACAATATCACAAATGCACTAAGACCAATGAATTGTATCTTAAAAATGGTTAACATGATAAATTTTGTTATGTATATTTTGCCACAATAATTTTTTTTAAAGTTATTGAGAAATCCTACCAAATACCCCCATCCTACCCAAATGTCCTCATTTCTTCCCACTCCCAGTCTATTTGTTCTAAACCATATATGTGTGTGCGTGTGTGTGCATATATTATATATATATAAAAAATATATACAGCATTCTAGTATTCAAACCTCCAGAATGCCACACATGCTACACCTGGCACCTTCTCGTCACCTCTCTGTGCCCAGAACCACAGCAGTGCGGACTTTCCCTGACTGTCCCTGGCTCACCCACATCCCTCCTCACTCCATCATCCGAGGATTTGCTAACTGCTCGTCCTCCTCTGACACTTTAGCTGTTTTAGCTGGTAAGCGCCTACTCTACATATTTGCATTTTTCCTCTGCTTTCCAAGGTTGTTTTCCTTTAAACCTGACACAAACAGCCATGGAGCTTCGCTTCCTCGTGCAGGCTCCCCACAAGCCGCGGGATGCATTATCAGACACATGACATGCACTCGAACGTCTGCGTCTAATAAATTACTCTCTGAACTCCAAGGCTGATGGCCGTCTCTCTAGAAACACGGCAAAGGAATCAATATGTCTGGAGCATCGGGCTTGTTTAAAAGAAAGAAAAATACCACAACCTTAAGGATAACTTCTTACCTGCTCTCAAACAAGCAACACCCTAGCCACATAAGAATTCTATTTAATTTCTTCAAAGGCCTGTTTTTAAAATCAAATACAACACATGCCCACAACAGGAATATATAAAATGTGCACGCAAGCAAATGCTGACTCACCCTATCATATGCATCTCTCTAAAGCCCCAGCTGAGAGTCAGGCAAGATCTTAAACTCATTAATGAAAAGGCCAAGTTGGTTCTGAATAAAACACAACTACAAAAACATGATAAAGAAATCAAGGGGAGCCGGTGAGCTTTCAAAATGAGTCAAGATCGGTTCAAGAAAAAGAGCTGAGGACATGAGAGACCTTTCAACCCATGCAACTGCAATTAACTAGAGCCAGAGAGGAAAATGTGCTTGATCCCAGATGTCAATTCAGCAGATTTGTCTCTGCAATGAACATTCTGGGACAGAGAGGGCAACGGGTGTGATGTTAAAATGCTCCTACCTGCTCCTGGGCCAACAAGGCCTTCTTCTTCATCACTTTCATGGCATAGATGTCCCCGGTGGCTCTCTCTCTTACCACCTGCACTTCGGCAAAGTGTCCACAACCCACCAAACTTCTGACTTCAAAGTCCTTGGCAGAAGGCTGGAGCTCCTGCAGCTCAGCAATGGTGTCGGAATCTGCGAAACATGGAAGAATTACTCCCAGGTAAATAAAGGGCTTCAAATACCTGCATCTTTATGAAAGCCAAAAAAGAAAGAGTGTTCTCATGTCCTCCCTCACTGTCAAAAAACATTTAGTCACTTTCTCATCATCATGAATAATTATAAAATCAGCACAAAAGTGTTTTTATATGTTAAAAGTAAGGGCTCCAGTAATTTCAAAGCAGTTTCCATGGCAGCTACAATTTGCATCCTGAAGACTTGGAAAATAGAGGAAGGAGGATACAGATCGAGCGTTCCTTCCTCCTCGCGGAAGGCTGCAGGGTCAAAGATCCGTGTCTGCACTGGGACCAGTTTTCAGTGGACGAAAGCAACATGACTCCCATCTCACTCAGTGCTGGAGCTGGTTTCCAGACCATTCCATCCTGACCACATGTGCTCTGCTCAGTTTTCTCTCAACAGCCCATTTGATCTCCCACGGACGGTGTCAGTAATAGTAACGCCTTCCTCGCCTCAAAGTGCGACAGTGCTACCAAAAAGCAAACAAACAAAAGAACAGAAACTTTAGCCCAAGGAACCAAATGGGGCCCTGACATTTGCTCTGCAGAGTTGACATGTCACACATCCGGAAGGGTTTGCACTGTCTTCTTCTTAACTTCGAGTCCTAGTCCTCTTCCTAGTGCAATCTTTCCATCGGTGTCTCGGTTTGCTCGGGCTGCCGTAACAAATACCACAGGTGGGGTGGCTAAAACAACAGGCATTTATTTCTCATCATGCTGAAGGCTGGGAAATCCAAGATCAAGGTGCTGGCAGGTTCAGTCCCTGATGAGGGCCCACTTCCTGGCTCACAGACAGCCACCTCCGCACTGTGTCCTCACAGGACAGAGACAAAGAAAGCTCTGGTCGCTCTTCCTCTTCTTACAGGGACACGAATCCCATCTTGGAAGACTCGTCCTCATGATCTCATTCCATCTAAGCACATCCCAAAGGCCCCACCCCCAAATACCATCCCACTGAGGATCAGAGTCTCAACACAGTAATCTGAGCAGGACACAACATTCAGTCCAAGATCTTCATTGTATGATAATGAACTAAATAAATGGGTGGTGGGTTTGAAATCTAACATATTTTTTTTGTATGGTTTTTGTTTTGTTAATCCTCATCCAAGGATATTTTTTCCATTGATTTTTTAGATAGAGTAGAAGGGAGGGAGGGAGAGAGAGAAACATGGATGCGAGAGAGATACATCAATTGATTGCTTCCCCAAGGGACCCCAACCAGGGCCAGGGATCGAACATGCAACCCAGGTACATGCTCTTGACCAGGAATCAAACCCGAGACCCTTCGGTCCGCAGGCCAACACTAACAGCTGAGCCAAACTGGCCAGGGATTAACATACATTTGTTAACACTCTAAGAACACTAGGCTGGAGCATCACTGAATATGCAACAACTCTAATGACCTGCAAGAATGGAGGGGAGCAGCTGCGACTGACTGAAAAATTAATTCAGTCCTGCACATTACAGGGAAACTGCACCGTACACGGGGGTTACACTCCAAAGAAAGACGAGAAAAACATATAATCAAAATTACCCTGGAGAATTCCTCAGGAAGGTGCCACTGAAGGCCAAGAGACTGTCTTGCCATCCCAGAGGAATAACGGACTCCTCTGGGCAGTGGAATGGATTGCCATTTCCGTAGGTTGGACACCAGATCAAGTTGGAAGCTCCTTTTCTTGAGTTACATTCAGCTCAGCAGATTGTTCAGACAACGACAGGGACTGAGTCCAACAAAGGGAAAAGCCATTCCATACCCACAGTCACAGAGTGGCATATTGCTGAATTAGCCAGTGCAATTGTGATTGCTCTTACCCACCCCTTTCTTTGTTGCATGGGTGGAATTTAATTCACTTGGGTCAAAGGCACATATGATGAACTCTGTGGCACTGAGTGTCTTCCCACCCACAGACCCACCTCTCACGTTAGCCAGTCATCCTGAAAACACTTTCCTTCAGTCCCTTGCGGAATCAGGCAAGAGTGGTGGGTAGATCCCATGAATTCATCATGACCACTGTAAAAAATTAAATCTAGCCCTAGCTGGTGTTTCCCAGTGGTAGGACACTGGCCCATGAATGGAAGAGTCGCAGGTTTGATTCCCGGGCACGTACCTGCATTGCAGGTTCAATCACTGGCCCCGGTGAGGTGAGTGCAGGAGGCAACCAATGTGTCTCTCTTACATCGCTCTCTCTCTCTCTTCTTCCTTTCTCTCTCTCTCTCTCTTCTCTTTCTCTCTCTCTCCCTTCCTCTCTCTCTAAAAATCAATGGAAAAAATATCTTCGGGTAAGGATTAACAAAAATATAAAATAAATAAATCCAGAGCCCAGCCAGTGTGGCTCAGTGGTTGAGCGTCGACCATGCACCAAGAGGTCACCAGTTCGATTCCCGGTCAGGGCACATGCCCAGGTTGTGGGCCGAATCCCCAGTGGGGAGCATGCAGGAGGTGACCGATTGATGTTCTCTCTCATCGATGTTTCTAGCTCTCCCTCTCCCTTCCTCTCTCTCTAAAATCAATTAAAAAAAAATTTTTAAATAAATAAATCTAGAGCGCCTACACAGAGAATTTCATGCAGAAGCAAAATTGAAAGCTGAACGGTCTTTTCCTTTTAACCTGACATCACAGTGCCAAGGCCCATCTTTCTCCCCTGTCTCTTTCCAAGTTTCTTTCAGATCAAGCATTTGAGTTTTGAATTATAATTCCCCAAATATGCTGGCTTGCAACTCTCTGGGTTATACCCGATTTCATTACTGCTCCCACACAAGGCCAATCTCTCCTGATTCTCTGTTAGGCCTTGGGCCCACAATTTGTTTATAGCATTTGTCCAACTTATTAACTTTGGGTCTGTCATTGCCAACCACCAGGGATCTCAATCACACAAGTAGGCAAACTGCTTACAGGCAAAACCACCATGAGACTCTCAGAATTCTGAGAAACCATTCCAAATCTCAGTATCTTTTTCCAAATGCTTTGGATTATTAAGGTGAACAGGTGAGACCCTAAACTCAATTCTACGACTATTTTTTTAAAAATCTTCACAACTCCTCTCCAAATTAGCAGCTTCTATAACTCCAAAACCACATTAACCCTTCATCCCTACACAAGGTTATAGTATTTAAGAGCCCAGTGGATGCTGATTATTGAGGTGGAGATAAAAACTGTAATGAATGCAGTTAAAGAATGACTTTGTCAGAGAAACATTTGCACCCAGAGGGCAAAAGCCAACACAGCCCAATGCATTGCATCCTCTGACCCTACATTTCAACTTTTAGGAATGCGTGCTCCACAGACACGCCGGCCCATGTGCTCGGAAGGGATACATATGAAAATGTGATGAGAACGCTGTAACAGAAAAATAGTTAGAAACAACCTAAAGGTCCATCAGCAGGCAAGTCCACCCACATAAAAGAATATCAAGCAAGCCCTGGCCAGTTTGGCTAAGTGGTTATAGCATCAGCCCAGGAACCTAGGTTCGATTCCCAGTCAAGGGCATGATGTGGATTGCAGGTGTGACCCCCCCCAACCAAGGCCATGCAGGAGGCAACCAATCGATGTGTGTATCTCTCTCACATCGACGTTTCTTTCTCTCTCTTCCTTCCACTCTATCTTAAAAAAAAATCAATGGGAAAATATCCTTGGGTGAGAATTAACAAAATGATAAAATAAAATAAAAGAGAATCAGGCTCATGTTTAAAAGAATGAGGTAGAGCTCAACCTCCACTAGAATATGCACTTTTTTATTTTGGTCTGTTTTGATCACGATTGTAAACCTAATACCTAAAAGGAAACCTGGCACATAGCAAGTGCTCCATAAATATTTGTTGAGTAAACATATTGCTAAGTGAGCAAAGCTAGTGGCAAAACGTTATACACATATGTAAACAATAATAAAAATGGAGCCACTTTAAAATGGAGCTGGAGCTGCCAAGCCAGAGGAACTGTCTTCCACCTCTTCGGTCTCAGATCTTCGGAATGTTAAAACAGGGCAAAATAACCTTTGGACTGGGCAACCTTGTGGTCCCAAGAACTGTTTGCCAAGATAACGAGAAAGTAGTCATTATGACTACTGGACTGAAATTTTTAAAAATGTCTTAGAATTACTGGCCAGTGTGGCTCAGTGGATTGAGCATCATCCCATGGACCGGGAGGTCCCGGTTCGTTTCCTGGTCAGGGCACATGCCTGCGTTTAGGGCTCGATCCCCAGTAGAGAGTGTGCAAGAGGCAGCCAGTCAATGTTTCTCTCTCACAACAATGTTTCTCTCTCTCCCTTTCTCTCTAAAAAATCAATTAAAAAATATTTAAAAGCCCTGGCCAGTTTGGCTCAGCAGTTGGCCTGCAGGTTCAATTCCAGGCAAAGGCATGTATCTCAGCTGCAGTTCAGTCCCCGGCCCTGGTCGGGCTCATGAGGTAGGCAACCGATCGATGTGTCTCTTTCTCTCTCCCTCACACCCTATCTGAAGATATTTTTTTTTAATTAAAAAAAAAAAAAAAGCCCTGGCCGGTTTGGCTCAGCAGTTAGAGCGTTGGCCTGCGGTCCAGAGAGACCCGGGTTCAGTTCCCGCTAACGGCATGTACCTCGGTTGCAGTTTGTCTCCGGCCCTGGTTGGTTGTGCGGGTGGCAGCCACTAGATGTGTCCCTTTCACGTCGATGTTTCTCTCTCTCTCTCTCTCTCTTCCTCTCTCCCTCTCCCACTCTATCTGAACAAAAAATGGAAAAATGTCCTCGGGTGAGGATAAAAAAAACAAACAGTGAGGCAGGTAAGATTTTGAGGGATTTTTCTCTTTGACCTATTGTATTTAATTTTGCATTATGTTTACAATGGGGGGACGTCATCAAGTTATAATTTGCCCACAAGTACTAAAGTTGTGAATATACAACTTTACTTACGGTGAATGTAGATGGAAGAGGGTAGAATTTCAGCTACTATCACATCACCAACAAATGCCCAACTTTGGCAAGTATGAACACTTTTCTATGCATATTTTAGTATCACACTTGCTGTTTTGTTTTGTTTTTGACACAAATCATGAGCCACTACGCTTAAGTTTTGGCCACTTATTTTGTTCACTTGGCGTTATAGTCAGTCAATCAATATTTATTGAGCACCTCCTATGAGCTAGACACTGGGGATAAAATAGTAATTAAGAAACAAAAATTCTCTCTCTAGCACCCAGATACTAGTTCCTGGCCCTCCCTTGGCCCATGCTGAGGGCTACACTCCAGGGCTATACTCTGTCTCATTTCCTTTAATAGTCCCCGAAGAAAATTTCCATCTCTATGACAAGATTCAAGAACAGCTGCTGGTCCCTTCTTCCCACAGGAAAATGAAGCTTACATTCCGAAACAGAAACTCAAAAGAGGGGGAAAAAACAATCACACTAATGCAATCACCCTTTTTCAATCATAGCCTCTCAACTGTACTCTCCGGAAGCCTCTTCAATAATATGAAACAGTTCCCTGGAAGAGAATTCCATTAGAAGAGGCTACATTTCACTAAGCCGAGCCCCCTGATTACTGAATGAGTCGAGATCCATTACTTTAAAGTAACCAGAGGGCCATCTCCAGACTAATGAAGGTGCCTGTGGACAGCTCGGTCAATTTGTCTGTCACACAATTTCCCTTCCCCTCCCACTCCCTATTTGAGGATTTACATATTCAAGAAAATAAGGTAGGAGTTTATTCAAACAAATACAGACAATGAGCAAATACCCCAGGTACATTTTGAAGTTAAAGATACATAATATATTCAACATCGGTGAGGTTTATGACCATCGTTATTAGGTAACATTTACTGAGTGTCTCTATGCACCAGGCAACATGAGTCAGGTCTGTGCACTAACTCATTCAGTCCCCACATAACCTTATTAGATATGCATCTTCCCCATTTTGCAGATGAGTAAATGAAGGACAGATAAGGTCCACACATTAATACCTGAAGTCACTGTACTGAACATACATTGATTTTTATCTATTTGCACATCCCCCACTCCAGGAGGTACTGGTAATCACAGTGCCCTGAACCCCTAGGCATCCAGATGAGGCACATCACAGTAACTGGTCAAGGGGTGGGCACATGACCCAAAGCAGAGCTGATCAGAATCTTCCCGGACATTGTATTAATATAGACAGTAAAAGACAAACGCCGGGCAGGGTATTGTAGCCAGTCTGTGAAGATGTGTCCAATGGCCCATGTCTCCTGGAATTAGTGCCCTCGCGTAGTCTCCTGGCACGTGGAACCTAGGCAGCCTACGACTTACTTCAAACAACAGAGTGCAGCCAAATAGATCCTATGTCCTGTCCAGGTCTAAGCCCTAAGAAGGCTTAGCCACTTCTACTTTTGTGCTTTTGGAAACCCCGAGCTGCCATATAGAAAGTCCAGACATCTCTGCTAGAGACCAACCATGCAGATCAGAGGTTAGGCAAGATTTCCTTAAAGGGCCAGAGGGTAAATATTTTAGTCTCCGTAGGCCAGAGGGTAAATATTTCAGTCACCACTACTCAAATGCACTGTAATGTGAAAGCAGCCACAGGTAACGCCTAAACAAATGAGAGGAGCTGTGTTCCAGCAAGACTTTGTTTAGAAAACAGGCATCCCAGGCTGTCGTTGGCTGACCCCTGATGGAGACCACATAGAGGAGCCCTGTAGAGCACGAGACCCTGAGACTTCAGGAGAAAAAGGTCCAGTCATCCAGAGCCCCCAGGCGAGCCCAGCCTCCCAGTCAACATGCCAGACTCTGGGTGAGCCACCTGAACATTCCAGACCAGCAGGGTCTCTGGTGCCTGAAATCTTGGTCAATATCACATGGAGCGGAAGAATCCTCAGCTGAGTCTGACCCACCAAATCTTGAAAGGTAATATACAATGACCATCATTTGCGGTCACTAAAGTTTGGGGTAGTTGGTTACACTGCAAAGCCACCTAAGGCAGGCTGTCCTAAACTCGCCTAACACAGCTGACATTTCGGGCCCAATAATTCTATGTTGTGAAGAATTGTCCTGGGCATTGTAGGATGTTTAGCAGGATCTTTACCCTCACCCATTAGATGCCAATAGCAACCTCCCCCACCCCTCCCCCAGTTTTGACAACCAAACGTATCTCCAGACAGTGCCACGTGTCCCTGGGGGGCAAAGTCACCACTGGTCAAAGAAGACTGGTATAAGTAAAAGACTATGAAACTGGGCACCAGGAGCCAACTTCCACACCTTGTGCAAGTCAAGCACAGTCCAGAACAGGGTGTGAGCAGGACTGATGAGGGCCCCAGGCACTTTTGCTTTCATCAGCCCCTTGTTGCATTAAAAAATAATAATAAAACAAAAAACTATAGATATTTATGACTCCAGTGGCATAATGAATATAATCCAGAACCATTACACATCACTTCGACGTTCATATTTTTCCTTATGATTTTAAAATAAAGTACAATTAAACTTATTTAAATAAATTTATTAAAATGAAATATTGTGGGCCCTAGCCAGTTTGGCTCAGCGTTTAGAGCGTCGGCCCGCGGACCAGAGAGACCCGGGTTTGGTTCCACTAAGGGCACGTAGCTCGGTTGCAGTGTGTCCCCGGCCCTAGTTGGGGTCATGTGGGTGGCAACCACTCAATGTGTCTCTCTCACATAGGTGTTTCTCTTTCTCTCTTCCTCCCTTTCTCTCTCCTGCTCTTTCTGAACATAAATGCAAAAATGTCCTCGAGTGAGGATAAAAAAAAAAAGAAAGAAATATTGTGGGACCTAAGCACTATGCCCACTATGCTTACTGGAGAAGTCCACCATGACTGAATAGAGGAATAGGCTAGGGGACATGATTTAAGTCCCTGGAACCAGCCATTCCTAATGTTTGACCCACCCCTGGATGTGTTTCATGAGCCATAAATTCACTTTTTGGCCTAAGCTAGTTTGAGCTGAGTTTCTGTCACTTGCAACCAAGAGACCTGACTTATCTGGTCTCCCAACTACCACAGGTGGAACCTGACCTTTAAACTGGGTCTAAGAGCAGAATTCTTACTGTCAGCAACCCCTAACCCATTCTGCCTCTGGCATCTTTCTCATTTTCTCTAGCTGGACAGTTCTCAAGAAACAGTTTCCCCAACTTACACTTCCGGACAAAGTTGCTCACGTGCTTAATCTTCATCAGAGCAGGCTGACTGCATTCTTCAAAGAGAACAAACAGGGCATCTAATATCCCTTCTCGGGAAAGAGGAGACATCTGCTGTTGAGTCATAAAGGGTGGTTTCCCCTAAAAACAGCAAACAGCAGATGGAGACACTGTCAATAATGAAAAGCTTTGATCAATAACATCCATCCACACAGAGTAAATTACAAGCCACCAACTCGACTAACTGCTCACGACACAGGCTAACAGCACAATTCTATGGCTTCGCTCTTTAAAGAGGCATCAATTGACAGTCATTAAGTTATCACTTGTACGATTCCATCACTGTGGGTTTCCTTCACCAGCATCTGGGAAGAAATACTTCACACATACGCCATTAATGAGAAAAGGCCCTTCTTTCTTTTTTAAAAAATACGTTTTTATTGATTTTTTTTTTTTAGACAGGAAGGGGAGAGAGAGAGAAGCACTGATGTGAGAGACACATCGATTGGCTACCTCCTGCACACCCGTCACAGGGGATCAAGCCCGAAACATGGGCATGTGCCCTGACCAGGAATCGAACCAGGACATCTCAGTCCATGGGACGAAGTTCAATCCACTGAGTCACACTGGCCGCACAAGGCCCTTCTTTCTTAACAGTCTGAGGCTCATGGAAACATTTATTCTGGACCCTGCTGGTCTTGACATGTCTCCATGTCTCTACAATAGAAAACAAGGATTGCCACTTCTTTCATGTGTGCCCAGAGGTTTAGTAATATAACTTTAGTCTCTTTACTTCACTCAAATAATCCAGAGTGGAATGAATGAAGTGACTATACTGAAGCTGAATTTATTCATGATCTAGAGCAACAGTTGCAAACTGGCAGACTGTATCTAGCCTGCAGACTGTATCTAGCCCACAAACATGTTTTGTTTGGCCTGTGGTATGTAAAATAATTTGAATTATCTGCCAATATTGAAAAATCAGATGTCACCAAAAAAGGGAGGGGAGGGAGAGATTTCTGGTTTCTTCTGAAACACTGGTGGATCTAGCAACATTGCCCCACACCCCAGCCTGGTGACTTGAGTGGCAGCTGCGTGATGTGTTCTGCATGTCACTGCAGACCTGACTTGCAGTCTTCCACCTGGCCCACCTGCCTTATTTATACTCCCTGCCTGGCCCCCAAGGACATGAGTCTGCAACCCTGATTTAGAGCAACAGATCCCACGTGCCAGGCCATGGATTGTGTGGTGGTCTCGCTGCCAAGATGGCCATCCATAGCTCCTCCAACTCTGAAGGCACTCGCTGATGCTCCCATCAAGAGCTGCAGTCTATTTCCCCTCCCCTTGAATCTGTGCTAACTCTGTGACTCACTGCAACCAACAGAATGTGACAGCTGACACTGTGCCAGTTCAGGACAGACCCCTTAAGAAGTCTGCTTTTGCTTTTTTTTTTTCCTCACCCTAGGACATTTTTCCATTTTTTGTTCAGATAGAGTGAGGGGGGGGAGGGAGAGAGAGAGAGAAACATAAAAGTGAAAGAGACACATCGAGTGGCTGCCACCCAAACGACCCAACCAGGGCTGGGAACAAATTGCAACTGAGGTACATGCCCTTAGCAGGAACCAAACCTGGGTCTCTCCGGACCACAGGCCGACGCTCCAACCGCTGAGCCAAACCGGCCAGGGTGTTTTTGCTCTTTTGGGAAGCAAGTCGCCATGTAAAGAAGCTTGGGGTAGACAGGAGTTCAGCAAACTGTGGCCCATGAGCCAAGTCTGGTCTACCACCTGTTTTTATAAATAAAGCTTCATTAACTTACATATTTTCTATGCCTGCTTACAGTGGCCGAGTTGAATAGTTGCAGCAAAGACCAATTGGCCGAAGGAGTCTAAAATACTTATTATTCACAGAAAAAAAAAACACCTTCAAACCCTGGGTTAGACTTATGGAATAATGAAAAGATCTCATACAGAAGAGAGATCAGGTGGAAGAACTCTGGGATGCCCCAGCCTGCCATCAGCACCCAGATGTTCCAGTCCCGGCCAAGCTCCCAACTCAGTATGGCCCCTTGAGTGACCCCAGCTAATGTGACAGGGTGGAGCAGAAGTTGAATCCAGCCAACCAACAGAATCATAAGAAAAATACATCATTGCTGCTTTAAACTTTGTGAGTAGTTTGTTACACAGCACTGGATAATAGAAACAGACTGGCTAAATCTAAATCACCTGCAGAACTGGAACATTTCACCCTGGCCAGTTTGGCTCAGCAGTTAGAGCGTCGGCCTGCGGTCCGGAGAGACCCGGGTTCGGTTCCCGCTAAGGGCACGTACTTAGGTTGCAGTTTGTCCCCGGCCCTGATTGGTCGTGCGGGTGGCAGCCACTCGATGTGTCCCTTCACGTCGATGTTTCTCTCTCTCTCTCTCTCTCCCACTCTATCTGAACAAAAAATGGAAAAATGTCCTCGGGCGAGGATAAAAAAAAAAAAAAAGAACTGGAACATTTCACTAAACAAAAAACAAAAACAAACAGATTTTCTAGTGCTGTCCCCAAACTACTGAATTAGGACTTTCCAGTTCAGAGGTTAGACTCTGTCTCATTAACAAGCCCCCGCTAAGAAATTCAAACCTCAGCCACTAGGTTTGTGAAGCACTGGCCACATTTGTCACCTCACCGTTCTGCCACTAACTCAGAAAATAAAAATCTTTGCTTCTTCTCTTCTTTAGTAAACTAGAGCAACAGTTTCTAAATACATCAGTGATTCCTAACGGTTTTCAAGTCTGCCCTGAAATGAGAAAAAAAAAAAATGAACAACATATAATGACTTTTTTATAGAGCTAAATCTATTCAAATTTTAAAATGGTCTTTTATTCTGAAGTGATGTCCTTCCTCTCCTGGTGTTTCTTAAAATAGCCTTTCTTTATAAAATAAAGACCAGAAGAGAATGTCTTTTTTGTTACCTGTTTATTTGTGTTTACATAACTTACTTGGCAAAATAAAGAGCTGGCAAACCTAGGGGAGCCCCGCAAATTTGTGAAATTTTACGGAGTTGAATAAGAGTCTGCCAACAACTGACATAGAGTTCGTTGGGAAGTACTGGTAAGTAGAACGTGAGGCCCTCTCTGAGGTGTTTACTTAAATGGAAAACAAAATCACTACTCTATTAAAACCTCATTACAAAGGCACTTTATGGAGAGAGAACAGTATCCTCAACTGCTTACATTAGGCAAATGTTTGATATATATTACGTTGGCAAATATTGGCTTTCCTGGGGGTGAGGAGGAACTCATCATTTAAAAAAGACGAACTGGCCCTGGTCAGTTTAGCTCAGCGGTTGGAGCGTCAGCCTGTGGTCAGGAGAGTCCGGATTCAGTTTCCGCTAAGGGCATGTACCTCGGTTGCGGTTTGTCCCTGGCCCTGGCTGGGGTCGTGTGGGTGGCAACCACTCAATGTGTCTCTCTCGCATCGATGTTTCTCCCCCACCCACACACTCTATCTGAAGATAATTGTAAAAATGTCTTCGGGTGAGGATAAAAAAAAAAAAATAAGTTAAAAAAAAAGATGAATTGGGGCCCTGATCAGTTTGGCTCAGCGGTTAGAGCATCACCCCACAGACCAAAGAGTCACAGGTTCAATTCCGGTCAAGGGCACATACCTGGGTTGCAGTTCAGACGGGGTCCTGCAGGAGGCAGCTAATTGATGTGTGTTTCTCACATCAATGTTTCTCTCTCTCCCTCTCCCTCCCTCCCTTCCTTTCTCTCTCTCTCTCTCACTCTTCCCCCCCCCCCCCCCCACTCTATCTGAAGATAAATGGAAAAATATCCTTGGGTGAGGATTTTAAAATAAAATAAAAAAGACAAATTGGGGATTTCCCACAATATCCTTGCTTCTATAACATCTAAGTATAAGACACACTTAATAAACTGACATACACTGGCAGTACGTCCCAGCGGTTACACAACCAGCCTCTGGAGTCAGACAGACCAAAATTGGAGCCTGGCTCTGCCATGTACAAGTTGCACAATTCTGGGCAAGTCCTTGCCTCTCTTGATATAAATCTCCTCCTAGTTGAAATGTCACTACAACTAGTCCCTACCTTTGTTATCGGGCCAAAGAAAGATCATCAGGAACATGTTGACTCTGTGCCCAGCATATTGGAAGCCATAGTTATTATATAATCAACACATTATAAGCTCTTAATGAATGTTGTAATAAGTTGGGAAAGTTTTGGAGTAAAAAAACAAGATACAAGGGTAAAAAGTGGAAGCACACCAGTCAGCTAAGGTTAGAGACAGACTTCATTTGTGAAAAATATCTCATGGAGATGGGGATGGTCCCAGAGAACAACCTAAGCTTTCATCTGTCTCTATCCTCATCTGTTTGAACACTCCCCAATACAAATATTGGGAGAATATATTAGTATTTATTATCACACAGGTTCCCTACATAAAAACCTTCTTAAATATCATCACTGCTAAGTGAACATAAATTTATTGTTACTATAACTAATATTTTTACCATTTATAAAGGGCTTACCAAGAGCTGGGCAAGGAGCCAAGTGCTCTGCATGGATGATCTCATTTAATCCTCACAACTATCCTGTGAATTAGGTTTTATAACTTCTATTTTAAAGAGTGGCAGATGGATTCAGGAGGCAATTGACTCACCCAAGGTAACACAGCTAACAAGTGCTGAGGCTAGAATTTACATCTAAATCTTTACCACTACCTATGTTTTCCCCTGATTTGTGAATACATAAGTCAAACTAGGATTTCCACATCAATGGTAGTCCATCTACATCAAAAACAAAAGAATTAGAAGTCTACTTAGATACAATCTCATGATATTAAGTTTTAATACTTCTAGGGTGATGGAAATGTCCTACACCTTAAGAGAACTGTAGGTTTCACAGGTGTGGTATTTATCAAGACTGGTGTGTTGTTTTGTGTTTTTTTTTAAATCTAAAACATAAATATCCCTCAAATAAAAAATAGGATTACACCTATAGAAATTTTCATCAAGAGTGCCCTTGTTTATTTGCTCCTCTTTCTGTAATAAAAGGACAAACTTTTATAGAAGTGTAAAGTATGTGAAACAAAATTTTTAAAAATCTTCCTTCAAGGGCAAGTTCAGCTCTCTAGTCCCGTCTGCACGGTGACTCCTTTTTCCAATACTACCAGCACATATAAAACACCAAATGGGATTTCTCCTAGATTAGCCTCAGTGTTATAATAAAAGCAAAGGTAAGTGACAAGGAGATTCCAAGGAAACAAACTCAGGTGTGCAGAGTTGGCAGCCTGTTACCTGGAAGAAAAGATTCAGCCTGGAGGCCCGGCTGGCAATAGGCTCAGCAGTGTCCGGCAGATTCCGTGCTCCATACTTAAATTTCAACATCTCCCCACTGGTGCTGAAGGGAGACAAGAGAAGTTCAAGTGTGTACTGACGATTTGAGGAGAAAGGGCTTAAGAGAGCCTGATCTTCCGCAAGATACCAAGGATGGGGAGGTGAAGATCAGCCACCACATGGGTCTTGGGATACTCAGTCTGGTGATGGAGAATAAAAACCAGATTTTTATTCTTTGTAACAGGTGATGCACTTATCTGGCATACTCCCTTACTTACAAATTTGCTTTTTATCTGCTCCTCCCCACTTAGAATGTAAGCTCCACAAAGACAAGGATTTTTATCCTCACGTAGTGGGGACACATATAGTCTGGTACATAGTAGGTACTATTAAATAGGTACTGAATGAATTACTGAAAATTAGCAATTTACATATGCTGGAAAATGATTAAGTGCTATGAGGTTGAAAAAAACTTCAGCAAGGTGAGGGCAATTGGGGCATGGGTGTGGGTGGGTGGGTGTGGCTGTGAGCAATTTTTTTAAAATAATTTTTCTTTACTGATTTTAGAGAAAGGAGAGAAGAGAGAGCAATGGAAACATCAATGAGAGAGAACATAGAAGGGCCGCCTCCAGCATGCTCCGCACTGGGGATTGGGCCCACAACCTGGGCACGTGCCCTGACCGGGGACCTCTTGGCGCATGGGTCCAAGCTCAACAACTGAGCCACTCCAGCCTGGCAGGTGTGTGCAATTTTTAACAGAGTAGACTTTACTGCGAAGGTAACATTTGAACCAAGACCTGAAGGAAACCTTGCTGATAACTGGAGAAAGAAAAGTACCCCAAGCAGAGGGAACAGTCAGACCCAAGGTTCTGAGGCGGTCCCGGCCTTCTAATAGTAACAGCAGGAAGACCAGAAGGACTGGAACAGCGTGGAGGAGGCCAGAAGTAGCAGGTGATGGGTGGATGCCGGGAGTGTGAAGACACTGAAGTAAATGGTTAAGGTCATACAGGTAGTAAGTTGTAGCCGGACTCCACTAGACAGAATAATGCAGGTAATGCTGGCAGGAGGCAGGGCAGAAGACCGTAGGACCCCACTCGGGTTCAGAGAAGAACAATTCCTCCTGCCCTGGGCACCCCCCTAGCAGACCCTTGGCTCGGGTGGAAGTGGGCGCGCCCCGCCAGCCTAGGAAGACCCCCCAGGCCCCCGGGAGCCTGGGGGCGGGCCCGCCGCTCTCCCGGCTGCAGGAGGCAAAGCGAGATTGGTGTGAGTGGAAGAGGCTCTTCCCCTGGTCTTGTGGAGTGGGGTGGGGGAGAACTGGGCGTACCGGGGTTCAGACTCACGCTCAGTGGACCCCACCTGTCTGCACTCTGTTCCGCTCCGTGCCTCCCGCCGCCGCGTTTGAACCCGGAATGGCATAGGCGGGACCCAACAGCATCTGGGCCAGTCAGAGTGCCCGTAGCTATGATGGATATCTACGTATCATTCAGGCCCCGCCCAAGTTCTTAAAGGAACAGACTAAGTGAGAAGGGGAGCCAATCGAATTGTTCTTTCCCTTGACTCGTGACCAATGGGAATCGGGGAAGGGCGAACCCGGCAGGGCAGGTCCTGGAAGTTTGAAATTGGCGGTTAAGCAGGACCCAGTGTCTGTGGACGCCTCGGTTGGTGTCTAGGATCCCTGGGGAGGTTGCCGGGGCGGCGCCCCCTGCTTTCATGGCCACCTGCAAGGAGGAAGGCAGCCAGGCCGCTGCCTGGTCTTGTTTCTCAATCTTGGCTGAAGTCGAAGAACTTGTTACTTTGGTAAATCAGCCGGTTCTCTGCTACAGCTGAGCTAGCAAATGTTTTGAGTTTGAACTTCCACCTGCCTGGGTGACAGCATCTTTGGTCTAATTGCCCTGCAGAGGTAGCTGCAGGTATTGAGACTGTTTGAAAGGATATTTTAAAATAAAAGGCAAGAGACTTAAAGAGGTACTTCACTAAGGAGAAAATCCGAATGACCCACAAACGTATGGAAAGGTGCTCAACCTCATTGATAATGACAAAATTAGAAAAATAAAACCACAATGAGGTACAATAACATGCATGCAGCTGGGGGTGGGGGTTCTGACTATTTCATAGAAGAGGAGCTACACGCATTCATACAGAGCTGATGGGAGTGTAAATTAGTAGAGTCTTGGCCCTATTTGCTAAAATGGAAGATAGGCACATTCTGTGACTCACTCCTGGGCATATATCCTAGAGAACTCCTAATTATGTACACCAGGAGACATGTACAAGAATGTACAAATAGTACTGAGTGGTGTAATAGCCAAAAAAGAACTGGAAGCTACCCAAATGTCCATCAGCAGTAGAAAGGATAATTTCTTATTTGCACTGTTTTCAAACAGCAATGAAAAGGAATAAACTACAGCTAAACACAATGATATAATGAGTCTCAAAACAATGCTGAAGGAAGACAATAAAGTATGATTTATTAATATAAATCTCAAAAGCTGACAAAACAATGTTGTTTAGGGAGGGATGTACATACAGGTGGTAAAACCATAAAAAAGCAGAAGTCTAGCTAGTAGTTACCTGGAGTTGGGATGGAGGCCTTTCAAGGTGTCAGGGTACTGCTATGATCTATTTCTTAACCTGGGTGGTAATAATATCAAGGTTTTATAATTATTAAATTGTGTTTAAATAAAAAGAAAGTTAAGGTCCTTTCTGTAATCTTGTAATCCCTACACTAGATAGAACTGGAAATGTGTTATCACACTCACACATACAAGCATATGGACACACATTGGTACAAAACCAAAGCTACAGACTTGCTTAATACACTTTTTTCCCCAAAAACATAACCTGCTATTCATTTCTGGGACGATAATGATAGCTATTATTTATCAAGCCCCTCTTCCTTCACCAAGCACTTTATCTCATTGAATCCTTACCACAACCTTGAGAGGGAGGAACTATAATCCACATTTTATACATTGAAGTTGAGAGGGGTCACGAAGCTAATCTTGAGTCATTCCGCTTTAGGTATTGGAACTGGGTTTGGAACTTCGGGACTATCTGACTCCAAATCCTTTCCTCTACACAAAAGCTGCTTCTCAGAAGACTTTAGAAATTCTCCCAGCCTCTGTCATGTTGCAAGGGCTGACCCAGTACAGAACAACGTATAAAAACAAGAAATGCTCCTAATGACATAAGACGGTTAACCAAAGTTTGGGAATGGCAAGGTGAGGGGAGACACAAAAAGGGTTGTAGGCAGCTCTTGCCTCGATATAAAGAATCTCAGAGCCTGGCTGATGTGGCTCAGTGGATTGAGCATTATCCCATGGACTGAGAGATCCCAGTTCGATTTCTGGTCAGGGCACATGCCCCAGTGGGATGGGGCCATGCAGGAAGCAACCGATCGATGTTTCTCTCTCACATCGATGTTTCTATCTCTCTCTCCCTTCCTTTCTCTCTAAAAAAAAAACCTCAAAAAAGCTGTGCATGTATAGAGCTAGTCAATGCTTCTGCTGATTTTTCTAGTCCAACAAACTGTTAGTTTCCAGGTGTCACAAATCGTAAGCCATTACCAGAATCTTGAGACTTCCTCATCCTAAATTAGAATGCAATGTTAACAACACTGCTTTGCACTGCCCCGAATCCTGCCCTGATATCCTACTGATGTCCCAGTAAAACAATGGCTGGCCTCTGCAAATCCTTTTTGAAACAGGGCAGGGAGTAAACAAATCAAATGAAGAAAGAAACATAAAGCAAAGACCAAGTTAACTCGACCACTTTTCTTTCAGGGGTAGTAACTGCACAGGATGTGGAGGAGGACAGAGACTAAGGAGGGACAAGAGAGGCTGTGCCAGTAGGAAAAGGATGAGCACTGCCAAACACAATGAACTGTCATTGGAACTAGACTGTCAGGAAACCGTATGCTGGTTCTTGCACAGAATAAAGCCGTGACCCGTTCTATGCTGAACATAAATCCATGACAATTGCTGTGATGGGGGTTCTGGAAGAAGTTCATCAGAACTGAGTCATCATGAAGGACATGATGGTGTTCTTGCATTTAATCATTTGTTTATTTAAAAAAAAAAAATGATTGTGCCAAGCACTGAGGGTACCAAAATGAAAAGGACACCCACCTTGCCTGTTTCTGAGAAGCCGAGCACAGTGGGGAAATGGGGCTGTAAGCAAACCACTGTGAGGCACAGTGATGAGTTCCTGTGGTCGTGGAGATGACAGAGGGCTCTGGCAACCGGAGCAAGGAAGGGCAGGTGGTATGTGACAGCAAATACCCAAAACTTGAAAATTAAAGAAATGTGATTGCCCTCTGAGCGTTGAACTGGGAGATAACACAAGCAGAGAGAAGCCAATGTGCCTTAAAGAGATAGGGTGAACGACTGCAAGGCTCCAACTAGACTTAGTGGAACATTAAGAACTAGACGTACCATCCTCCCAAAGGGAAGAAAAAGAATCTGAGAAGCTAACCCCATTTTAGACATAAAGAGGCAAAGCTATTCTGGTCCCTTTGGCAAGAAAGAGTTCCTCAAGCTATTTTAGCTGCAGGTAAACTTCTAAAATAATAAAAATAACTACCACTAGCTGAGTGCTTGCTAAGAAGGGGCCACAGCCCAGGCATTACCTGTTCCCAAAAATGTGTTCCCACCACAGGTCACATACAAATGTCATTTGTTAAATTTTACCCCGTGCTAGGGAAAACTGTAGCCAGGCCATCAGACCAAGCATTTCATAGCTTGTATAACTTGGAGTAAGGCTAAAGGAGGTATTTAAGAAGAAAATAATGAGTGAATAAAGAAAATGTTAAGTAAAGAGTAGTAAAAGCGGCACATAAATATAGCTTTTTTAAAATCTTGAAATTCAGGTAACATACATCATTTAACTTCTTTGAGCCTAAATTTATGCCTAGTTATTGTAACAGTAAGAGCTAAGAGATGTGAAAATGCTTTAAGATGTGAAAATCTAAAGCCAGCAACCTACAGACTGGAAGAAAATATTTGTAAATCACATATTTGATAAGGGTCTAGTATCCAGATGTATGAAAAATTTTTACTCACCTGGCCAGTGTGGCTCAGTGGATTGAACATGGTACCATGGACTAAGAGGTCTTAGTTCAATTCCTGGTCAGGGCACATACCCAGGTTGCAGACTCAATCCTAAGTAGGGTGCATGCAGGGGCAGCCGATTGATGTCTTTCTCTTACATCGATGTTTCTAGATGTTTCTATCTCTCTCCTTTCCTCTCTCTCTAAAAAAAATTAATAAAAACATATACATTTTTTTTAATCCTCACCCAAGGATATTTTTTCATTTATTTTCTGACAGAGTGAGAGGGAGAAAGAGAATGAGAGAGAGAGAGAAACATTGATGTGAGAGAGACACATCTATTGGATACCTCCTGCACAACCCCAACCAAGGCCAGAGATTGAAATGGAACCGAGGTAAATGCCCTTGATGAGAATCAAACCCTCAACTTTTCGGTCCATTGGCCAATGCTCTAACCACTGAGCCAAACCAGCCAGGGCTAAAAACATATATTTTTTTTAAATGTATTTACTCAACAATAAGAAGACAACTAACCCAACTTTTAAATATGCAAAAGAGTTGAATAGACAGTTCTCCAAAGAAGATAAGCAAATGGCCAATAAACACATTAAAAGATGCTCAATATCATGAGTCATTAGGAAAGTATAAATCAAAACCACAATGAGATACCACTCCATTCCCACTAGGATGGCCGTAAAAACATAAATAAACAGACAATGCCAAGTGTGGGTGAAGACGTGGAAGAAATTCAACCCTCCTACATTGCTGGTGAGAGTGTAAAATTATGGAGTCACTTTGGAAAACAGTTTGGCAGGTCCTCAAAAAGTTAAACATAGAATCTGTAACCCAACCATTTCACCTCTAGTTATACACCCAGGAGAAAGTAAAACATATATCCACACAAAAAAAGCTCTGCATAAA